TAGAAATTTCATGAAACTTTTGAAATTTGTGAAATTTCATCCTAGATTCTCGTACAATGAAAATTCGTTCATTGTCTTTGTTTACAACTTCAATTTTGTGCCAAAAATCTGGATATTTGTTCAGCCACAAAAATGTGGACAAGTTCAAAAAGTTAAATCAGCTATATAAGGGGCCAATTTTAATATCGGGCGACAAATAATGAACAAATATTCCTATAACCAGTGGCCAGATACCAGTTCGAGGCTAAGGTGAAGAGTCCATCGTTTTGGTGTTCGTTGAGAACACCCTGTTTATCGATACTTTTTGACGGGTTTAAATGGAAGATCAATCAATACATCGCAAAACACGCCACGCCACTGGCTGTGATCATTTACTTTAGTGGGTGTTTTTTTGTTTATTTTCTCCTGAATTATTTCATCCCATGTGGCAACACCGACAGGATCCCGCAACAGGGCTCAGTTTTGATCCAACACGTCGCGTCGCTCCCGGGAGTGTAAATGCGAACGGCACTGATCTTCATTATTCCTCACGCGTTGGACCGAGGGGAGATCTCGAAAAACAGTAGTGGCAAATAGAGTCCCTTTATACTGAGAGTCAAGACAATTTGAATCCATTTCTGATTGGTTCCCGTATTTTAGGCCTCCACAGTGTCACAAACGGGAATAAAGATTACATTTTCACCAATTGCAAAGATTATAATCTGGAATGGACCAGGGAATTACGGGTTCGGCAAGGAACAAACAGAATGAGAGGAGGAACGGAGAAAGGCATTTGAGAATGGGCCGATCAAAGATTACGAAAAACGTTCAATTTCTGTAATCTTTATTCCCGTTTGTGACATCCATGAGCCGAATTGTCTTGACTCTCAGTATAAAGGGACTCTAGTGGCAAATGCCTTCCAATTGCCGCATCAGCTTTGTATCTCCATGATTTGCTCTTCAATTCCCTCGTTTCCCACGAGAAAGCAAAGTCTTAAGTCCAATCGAAACGTCAGTTTCTCCGGGTTCAATCTCGAGCTGTGATACCGAAGTCAGAAACCCGCCTATGGGAGCATAGCCTAAGATCCTGGGTCAAAAATATCCAAGCTCAAAAAAAGAAAGGAAAGGACGAAATATTCCTGCTCCTGCTCATTTATAATTGGATGTTAATGAGAAAAGAACGCAGGTATTTATACACATATTTTGGCGTGGGCATCTAATGACCAAGTTGCGCTTGAATATGGAGGACATAAAGGATTAACTTTTGTCGCTTGGAAATGTTCAAATTCCTAATTGGTACGAGTAAGTAAGCACGAGTAAGTCCAAATCTAACAACATCGTATTCGTATTCAATGCAATCTAACGTTGGATGTAACCTGCACTGGGAAACTCCTTCAAATTTAATGCTAGGCAACTTTACGTACGTTTGGTGCTTTGATTTGGTAGACTACGGATGCTAGATGTTTCCTCCAGGAATACCGGCAAATGCAATAAAAGCTATTCATTGAAATGTAAAGCAATAAATAGCATGGCTGTTTAATACAGCTATACTAATGCTGTACTGTGCAATACTGTGCTAATGTTAATGAAAAACCTAGTCTCATGTATTCATTGTTTAACTAACTTAAGCCTGGTATATTCAAGGAAAGTATTTTGTCCATCGTGATGTTTAAACATAGCATCGTCCCTTTGAAATAAGAGTGTATCTCAATTCCAACGTGAGGCCTGTTCTCCGTTTAAATCGATGTTTCCCGGAGCTATTGTGGAAATATAGATATGCCCTTACGCCATAGGAGCGACGATGTGTTAGTTCGGTTGCTAAATAATTGTAATTAAAATACATTATACATGGAATTTAAGTACCTAATTGAATTATAGCATATATTTCATTTGTTGTTATTGTACTTCTCTCTTATTATGTTGGTTTTTCTTTAAAAAAAAGTGTTAAGATTTCGCAATTTTCCTGCATCATTAGGCAGCTTGCATGTTAGTGAGGGGAATACAGAGAATGAGGAGAAAAGAGACTTCAAATGGGTCTCTATTTATGTGCAATAAAAATGCATATGGACAGCTTCCGCAAGTTCGCTCTGCAGTGCAGGAGAAAAGTTTGGTATACGTTCCATTGGCATAGATCTGAAAATAGACTGAGAACATTCAGGAAAGTGGAGTTTACTGGCGCATTGGGCGGGCATGATATTTAAAAAATAGAATTAACTGCGTGGGTTGCTATGAAAGGTGTTGCCGCACTGGAAATCGTAGATTTCTCTTCCAACTCCAGCGATGAGGGTTTCTATGGGAATGTTGGCAGCTGTGATCGTTATACACCTGCGGCGCAGCGGCTGTTGGCTTTGAAATGCTGAATCAATTAAAATTTTGCCGCCATCGAACGTGCGACAATTTACCAGAAGTCCAATTTCCAAATTACTGCATCAGCGTTATTTACAGTATCAATTACTGGCGAGTCGTATTATGCTACCAGACCGTAACTGGTGACTTCGAAAAGGCTTTAGAAAAGTTAGTTAGTGGCCATTCTAAAAAAAGGATTGTTGCAATGTTGTTACTAAGCCTGTTGGCAAAGTCTAAATTGAATAATTCCTCCAACATTCTTTCGACAAAATTTAAAGGAACAAATAAGACGCACAGCGTGAGCTTCAAAACTTCAAAATTACACGATGTGATTCATCTCGCGGTACAAAAATTGTTGAAATCAAAATTAAATTATTTTTCAAAATTTCCATTGACAACATTATTTTGTTTAAAATTATTGTATAAGGGCTTTAGAACGGATAAAACAAGAAGAGAAAGGAAATCAAATGCGAAATAGACCCCGAATTTCAGCAGACTACCTTAATGATGGAATTGCGAGGATCGGTAAATTTCGGAAGAATCTTTAATCAAAAAGAAAAGACGTATCGATAACAAGATGCTTTTCAAAATATTTTAGCTCCGTAACTTTAACACGATGAATTTGACGGTGAAAGTACCAGACTACGTATCTCGTTTGCGGCGTTTGAAAATCTCAGCTCCCAATTTATTTTTGAAGGGAAACGAATCAATATCATCTCTTACATTTTTCGCGAAATTATCTTCGCACAGAGAAGAAAAATTATAGAAGTGTTTAAGAATTGACGTTGATTGGTTTTCTATTCAGAAAATAAAGTATGACAAGGAGTCTGCGATGTTGCAAACCGAGATACGTGGTCTGGTCGAAGATGTTTCATTGTTCATCATTAAATCATACAGCAATCTGTGTAAATTGATTGCTGAAACTATTCCGCTGTGCTAAGGAAGAACGCCGTATGAGCCTTCCGACGTTGCCAAATTTTCTTCGACCAATCACGAATTTTTGGAAAAAATTATAAATATCGTTCTTCCGATTTTTCAAAGAATTTTGTTTGTAATTTGATTTGAAACTTGTGAAAATTTTAAGGAGAAATATTCATAACTTTCTTCAGAAATAAATATTTTCCGAGAGGAAATTTGGCAACTCTCAAATGTTCATATGGCGTTTTTCTTTAGCACGGCAAAATTGCCTTCAAACTTGGTGTACGAGGGATTAGGATCCATTCCAATATCCAAAAAGCAAACGGTATCGATTAAGTTTCCTGAAAAAATTGTGAAACATGAAAACTAACTCTGTCTCCTTTGATAAGGCATATAGGAAGCGCTCGCAGAGAGGCATATTAAAGTACGCTTCGTTCGATATCAATTCAGACCCTTGCAAGAACGTAAAGCACTTCATTAATAATTGAAAATGCGACTTTCATAACGCATAGTATCTATTTTTGCTTAATCACTTAGATGAAGGCAGCGCGCCGATCGGCTGAGCTTTCGATTCTAGGCACAGAGTGTTGGTTGCCTTCATTGTGACCGGTTAGGCAAAACATGCGGCGTTAAAATAGTTGCCTAACTGCTCAAAATGAAGGGGAATCGATCTCTAATGATCGGCTGAGAGCTTATGCGTATGAATTTCATTCCATGAGTCCGTGTCGACACGAGCTGGTTCGCAGAACTTCGGAAGAACTAGAACCCGGAACATATTATAACTCATCTATAACATTTAGCGAAATCCAAGTTCGTCGAACTAATTCGCCCAAAGTTTACGCACTACTAGACTCTGACAGAAGATCGTCTGACGTCACTTTTACATGTAAAGTAAATGGAAGAGGCAAGATGGCGGATCTTCTGTCGCAGTCTAAAAGTGCGTGAACTTATTTGACGTCGACTCTGATAAAAAGCGAGGGAAAAAGACCAAATGTAAAATTTGATCGCTCTGTGTTTTCCTCTTCTTATTTTCGGTATACTAGGGGTGGATACTTTTTCGACCCAATGTATATCTTTGAATACATAACTCATAGAACTTTGCAAATACTGTCCCTCATCGGTCGAAAACTAATTAGCGCATGAAAAGCAATTATTGTTCCATAATTTAGACTTAAAGTCAAAGTATATTTTCCGAGGTAAAAGTTTATAAATGGAAAGCACCTGTGTGCTTCCTTCAGTTTGTTTACGGCTCCTAAATACATATCGATGGTGAAACTGCTGAAGTGCGTATCTCGGTTTATGGCTTCCTGTCATATTTTATTTCCTACTACTGAACTTAAAACAACGACTAAAAAACTACTCGAAAAACTACGGAACGTTATTTTTGAAAATCTCAGTTATTTTTCTTCTCTTTACGAAGAATTTCTGTGTAAATTTTAAGCCCAGATGTTGGTTCGGGTTCCAATTAAAACATAAAATAGGAGCCGAGATTTTGAAACATCGCAACCAGACACGCATTCCCGTAGTTTCACCGTCAATATACTGTTCTGTTTTTTTTCCCAATAAGTGCGCGTTGCGGCAACAGCGCCATCAAATCGTTTTAGTTAAAGCTCCAACGTTGCCACTCGCAATAAAAATCCACAACCAACACCGCGAAAAATCGTCAATTCCCGGTCAAAATCGGCAGCACAGGAGGCCCCTATCGGCGGGCGTCGCTTCGCGCTAGCATCTACCTCCGCAGATCCACGCAATTATATTATCACTGTTATCACGAAAGCGGGCTTTGTGCAGTTCAGTTAAAATCCCTTGGCCGGCGTTGGTTGTTGGCCCTGCAAGCCCTGCCATTCGTTCACTGAGTGTCCCTGTGTTTACGTCGTTCGCCGGTGAGCGGTCCCTTTCGCTAAGTGCCTTTCGGAATCCACCATGAACCTGGAATCGGCTCAGATAACCCTCCTCCTCGTTCTGGCTTGCGTCACTTCAGGTGAGATTTTTGACCCTAACGCGGCCGCCACACAGTGGTACGAACCAATGGGAAAGGCCGGAGATGACACGGGAACCTATGTCTCCATTAATGCAAAACTTGGCCGTTTAAAATTGGTTTTATTGGGCTTCTCGTAAAATTTCCTCTACAATTCAACCCTTAAAATTTGTAAAGTGTCGAGTTAAACACCAAAATTTGCAATTTTTGTAAAAAAAATTCTTGTCCAACCTTTGCCATCATCTCGTATCATTGTGCGGCGGTTATCTGTGAGCCGGACGCTCGCAAAAACAAACGTGACGACTTATCGATTGCATCGGCATGCGGCGCCGTTTTTTTTGATTCTGTGTCGCTTTCAAACCGATTAGGACGATTTCGAATGTTTTTCAGGAATAGTCTACTGGTTTCATTTGGATTTTATAAGATCAGCCAATTGGCCAATATTCTAACGGCTTGGTTCCTGTATCAACCTCGAAAAACCCTGTTAAAATTAGTTAATGACCTATCTTAATTGCACTAAATCTGATTAACACAGGAAATAGATTAATTAGATGTATTACAGCTAACTTTTTTCCTTTTTTTCTGATGGTTTGGACTCGGATGGTTTTTGAGCCGTGTCCAACGAGAGAGAACTAGAGGTTTAGAAAAAAGTCTACTTGTTAGTTAGATTAGGAATTTGCTTTGAGAAATAATGTAAATAAATTCTCACGTGTGGGTTCTTCTGAAGAGTGAAATATTACTGTGAATATATTACGAAGGATCCAACCAACGACTTGGCTCCCTCCTGTGACATGTTTAGCTCTTTTTCTGATGAAAAGAAAAGAATCAGCCAACAAAGCACACCAAATGAAAAATAATTTTCCAACACAATTATCCCTCTTTTAAACACGAGAAGATTTTTTTTTTTTTTTTTTTTTTTTTTTGGTAAGGGTGGAGAGGTTTGGTAAGAGATTTAATGTGTGTCCACCCAAGTTGGAATGGGTTCGATAGCGGCTACAGCCGCCAGGAGGAGTGAAAATACCTATTCACAAATATCTACTAAGTGGTCATGTCCGACCGGATCTAACTTCCAATCAATCTGGAGCAAACTACATAAAAATACTTCATTTGATGTTTACATTCACGCTTGGTATAAACACTGTTTCTAGGTTATTTGCATTCTATTTATGATAAGATACACCTAATCATTAGTTTTTAAATTATTGTTACCGCCGGCACTGTCCGTTGGACATTCCTAGATTTGAAAAAAATAACCTATCAATCTTTCCAAACAAAATGTTGCCATGGACAATAAAAACAACCTTTTTAAGAATATGGAGTTTAGTGAACAATTTCCAAAGAACAGACCTCCTCTTTTTCAAGGAAAAATTGCTAACTTTCTTTGAGCTTTACCCATATTTAAACTACATTTTATTGTACGGATATACAATTTGTGGCTCACTTTAGAAATGACATATGCGCCCATAGTTTCTACAGTGCAATTAGGCGGTTCTGTCGATGAGGCAAAAAATTAATTTCTCATTACAAAATAAAATTAGTCAGCGATGGATAGAGATGAGGAGATATCGCTCGCTCAATCAAAGACGCCAGTAGAAACTAAAAAATTAGAAAAAAATGAGTTTAATAAATGAATGCAGATGCTTAGCAACCCTGACTAGCAAACATGTTTGATAAGTATTTCGCTTCCAGTATCAAACAATTTGTACACTCTGAAAAAAATATAATAGAAAATATCGAAAAATCTCACAATATGCATTTCAGATAGATTACTTTTGGGCGGTAATAATTCAAATGTTTTCAACTGGACTCTGGAGCTATTTCTTGAATGTATGTTTTCCGCCCGAAGAGGCAATTTTCCAGCCCGATAAGGGTTGTATGATCAAAGGTTTTTTTTCGTGGGGGAGGAGGGTGAAGGGGTTGGTTGGCTTAAGAGGTTAGTTCTTCTCTACGTGACTCAATGCAATTGACGTGCACCGATTTTCACCATACTGTTTACAACTCTGACTCGCAAGGTCATAATCCATATTGACGGTGAAACTACCAAACCACGTATCTCGGTTTGCGACGTCGCAGACTTCCTGTCATACTTTATTTTTTAAACACGGAAAAAACGGTTTTAGGATCGGGTACTGCGGCGCAGGGCCCGGCCCCAAACCCGGGTAGGTGAAATTGCTTCACCTAAACCTCGGAGGGTCGGGCCCAGGTAGGGTCCAGCCCTACCTGCATATCGACGCCAAGCGTAAAAAATCCGTGCCCTCGCATGGATTCGAACTCGCATCGCAGAGATGGAAGACCAGCGCGGTACCACCAGGCTACGAGGCCTCGATGAATGAGGCAGCGAATTTACGCCTCTTGAGTGCAATTCCCCCTCTCGGCATATCAATGACACCTGATCATACGGGCATCAGTCCTCAACTGGCGTTCAGCGAGGAATGACGGTATTCGCTACTCCTGCGCATGCGCGCGCATGCGCAGTAACTAAAACCTCAAAACCCAGTCGGTGGCAGCGTTCGCAACTAGCTCATGGAGGTATCGTGCCTATAATCTGTAGGGACGTGAGCTACCTCTCACTGCCCTACCTCTAGTTAGGGCCCCATCCTAAACTCGTTTTTTCCGTGAATGAAAAACTACTTGACGTCCACTCTTGAAAATTTCTGTGATTTTTCCTCTTCGTGCGGAGAAAATTCTGTGAAAATTTCAAGGAATGATATTGATTTGGTCTACTTCAAAAAAATTAAATGTGAGCGTAGATTTTTAAACACCGCAAACGAGATACGTGGTTAGGTAGTTTTACCGTCGATATGCATATCCGCGAAAGAAAGTTGATAGACTGATAGAGCATAGCCCTCTGACCTCGCAGTGAGCCTTGCATCACGGATACGCACAGTACAAATTGATATCAGGGTGAACTATTACCGCAAGCAAACTAATGGCCAAAACGTGTCGTCCATTGTTGTAGTATGACAAGCTGAATGTCGGAGCATTTGCAAATGAGTAACTTCAAAGTCTCTCGTGTAGCCTTGATGAGGGTTCACTCCTCAGAAATTTGGACGTATTTATGCTAAAAGAAACTACATGGAAGTGGAAAGATGGGGTGTGCTCGTGGAAGCTGGATAAGGAACAATGTAAAAGTGGATATAGTTCCTTTTGAGAAAATGGGAAAGCGGGATTTTCAATTAAATCAAAAGGAACTGAGCGCTAACTCGTGAGCCGTGGGTATGTGACAAGAGCGTTGTGGACAGGGCTCATGAGTTAAAGACACACGACCTAGTCGTCGTCGTCGTTCGTGTCGTGCCTCCTCGCTCCCGATCCTCACCGCTGACGTCACTGGCGCTTTTAAAGTCCCATTCATTCTTATGGTCCGAGCACTAAAGAGCACACCCCATTTTTCCACTTGCACATAGTTCCATTTCGCCTAAATACGTCCATTTGTTCAATGAAAAATTATAATTGAGTTTTCGTGAAAAGTTTTGCAATGGGCTCGCAGGTAACTTAAATAGAAATTCATTACTGACATATAAAATGAGTAATTAACAGAAAATAAACATTGCTCATTACATTACCTCCGATATCCATTGGACTTCAAATTTTTGAATCAAATGAATTTTTTGGCCTTGATTTTCCCGCAGAATACTATGGACATGACTTCATTCTACCCTTCTGTTACTTGCGGTTTAGGCCATGGTTTTAGTGTGTTTTTTTCTTGTCTTACCTACGTGGAAATCAACACTATTTTTTTACTACAAATAACTAATGAGCATCGGCGCACAATGGATCGAGTCAATCAGAGAGGTCGGATATTAAAGTTTTGACTAAAACTGCAAATTTTGAAGTTTATTCCGTCACATTCTAAATTTTAAGGGGGGCTTCTTGAAGTAAATTTCAAGAGGAGACCAATGAAGTTACTTTTGAAACATTAAAGTTTTCTATAAACGGAGTAAAAAGCTTTTAAAGTTTCCAAAGTTTGTCCGACCTCTCATATTGACTCGATCCACTGTGCGGCGTTTGGAGCAATTTTTTTCGCGGATGATTTATCCTCTCAGTTTTTTTTTGGTGGGGAAAAACTGCAAACCCTGTAATTTTTTGCAGATTTATCTTGAAACTCCTGCGCTAAAAAGTTCTAATAGTGACTGACGATGAGTTTTTATTTAGTACTGATCAGGCAATCATTAGAGTGGCTTCTCAATGTCACCCGGATTTTTTTTCTTTCTTTTTTTTTTTTTTTCTTGCCGAATCCGTTTATTTTCCTCCAGAAGGCACTGTTGGGGTGTTCGCTCGTTCTTTCTTGTTGTCTAGGCAAGTCTAAAATGCATAAATTAACCGCAGTGCTCGTTCTTGGAACGAATCTTTGCCTTTATTTGCTTTTGAAAGAATGGTGGACTAGGTGCAGGAATAGATATTGATAATAAGGTAAACTGGGAATCCTGACCGACTTTTCTAGCTGCCTTAAATAATTTTTCAGTTAAATTTTGATCCAGTTTTAGTTTGGTGTGTTCAATTTCTTACCTGATGGAAAAAGACTGATTAATTTTAATGGTTGGACCAATGAGAATTTGATCGATAATCAAATCAACAGAACTGTCATGCCGAGGAAGTATACTATATGAGCAAGCAGATACTGCTGATTTACTTTAATAAAACACGGATTCTCTGAAAAACTCACGAATTTTGATATTTGCTATGATTCTTCAGTGAATTTTGTTTATAATTTAATCCAGCATATTTGAACATGTCAAAGAAATATATGGTTGGTTGGTTGGTAGATACGTTTATTTAAAGGTGCTTTTATTGGCATCTGGGTCATTAACACCTTAGAGGAGAGATCAAAATAATGCATAACTATTTTAAAAGATGTAAATATTTTATCGCAAAAATGTTGAAACCAACTTTTGACACTCTTTCTTGGGACATAGTAGAAAAGTCATGATGCTGAAGTAATTTTGTCTCTGTGACTCATTGAAATCCTCTATCAATTTGAGTTCGGTAAAATAAAGAAAAAAGACATAAATCTGAAGAATCTTATTTGCGCGTTTACCTATGAGAAGGAAATTCAAAGTTAAAAATTATAATACTAAGCAAGAAAAAAAAAAAGGGGTATAATGTTTTAAAATTTTGTATAGGTAGTATAATAAAAATCCACACGCAATAGGTATATTGATGCGTGAGCTTTGAGGTACCAATCATAACTCAATGATTGATCACATGTCGTCAGGGACAAATTGGGGAGAATCGAACTGGACGGTGAGCAACCTTAACCATCACATTGAATTATACTGTGGCGGACATGTTATTGATAGGCGAGTTGGCAGTCATTCAATCAAAGATTGATCGATCGCTTTACAATTAGGCTAAATGTGAGAGAAACTGTGACAAAAAAGACACGACGAGACTTTCAACCTTTCAGATCTGTTATCTATCACAGAGCGTCGAAGTCGGACGATATTCTCCGCATGCCTGACGATTTATCAATTCGGAATGAGGAAATGTTTCCGTCAAATTTGGCAACCAGAAAATTGTTGCAGATTTACACAACCTCATCTTCATCGTTCGAAAAAAAAATTATTTTAAACGAGCAAATAAAGTATAATAAAAAGTAATAATACAAAGAAGTAATTCTTCGTTTATGCACGGATATGAAGAGATGATCCGTTGCTCAATATGAATATAATTATTTAAGCTTACCATTCTGAAAAAAAGAAAAAAAATACCCCTATGAACTTGGTCGCTAACTATCATAAATCCAAATGCACTCATTGAGGAACTGGTGAATAAAGTAATAAAGCTATGTTTTGGTGATGTCGAGAAAACCGATTTTTCAGTTTAGTCATTAGCTAAACTCTCGTAAAAAGATTAGATTTAGCAGAGCTGAAGGTTTTTTTTTCAGGTCAATTTTACTATGTGAAGTTTACCAGGAATAAAGTTTCTTCTATAACACCAATTGGCTATTACATCACAATTGTCAAGTACGCCTCTCATTCAACGGAGCCTCTTAATTGTTCACTATTGTACTCTCGCGTTTATTCGTAACAATTTTTTTTTTTAAAACTTTTTCCAAAGTCTTTTTTTTCTGAGTAATTTCTGTTTGTTTTTGTTTGCAGGTTTGAGTATTCACTGCTTCGAGTGCAACAGTCACAATGACACAAGGTGTGCTGACGAAAAACCACCAGATGCGTTGAAGAAGGACTGCTCAGAACACTTAGAAGGCTCAAAATACACAATGTGCAGGAAGATCACCCAGACGATAGAATTCGAAGTCAACGGATGTAAGTTCAAAATTTCCTCCCTCAAAACATCCATCCTTTAAGCTCAGATGATCCAATAGTAGTCACCAAAATTTTAAAACTCTTCAAGCAGTTAAATTTAAAAATTTAAGGTTTCCTGGTCCCCGACGTAAAAAGCCTGGTTGCTGATCGTCGTAAATTAACTAACCAACCAACCAACTGAATCTGTTACTTTATGTGAAGCCGAGATCTCAGTAAGCCTCATTAAAGAACGCAAGAAGAAACAGAAAACTTTTAACGATTTAATTATATTCAAACTACATATTTCAATCTAAGATTGAACTGAGTCACCAAAAAGCGTGACTTTTTCAAGGATGCGTAGAAACAAAGAATGGACAGGTCTGTTTCAGAGAATGCAACATTTTTCGGTCATTGGGTTGTTTTTTTGCTGAGTTGTTAAAATGAAGGTGAATCGTGTTCTGTCACCTTTTTAAGACTTCGTTTTGTTTGTGGACCTGAACTCCTGAGTTTCGATAATTTTTATCTAGGCGTTCAGGTAAATTACACAAGACAACTTGAGAAATTTTAAACCCGCGTCGTTTAAAAATAGATTTCGGTTTAGTTACACAACCACACAGTCGAGAAATTAATAAATCTGGAGATCTTAACGACTTTATGGTTTCCATACTCTAATGGACGAATAATAATAACGCCTAGGTCCAGAAAACCCTTGATATTTGGACCGCGTTAAACAGAAAGGAACCAAGCCACATCAGCCATTGCCAAATTTAACAGGGGAACTTGATTTTTTACGAGAAAGCATTTGTGCGGATTCCTTTGAAAATTTTAAGGGATTTGCTTTGTATTATGGAGAAAATTCATAGAAATTTGCACAAAAATCTGCACAACCGTTTTCATGTAAAAAATTAAATTGCCCGATTAAGTTTGGCAATAGCTGATGTGGCTTGGTTCCTTTCTGTTTAACGCGGTCCATTCAATCGACTTTAAACGCATTGTTCACCGCAAATACTCGATTTAAGGAAAAAATTGTCAATTTTGCACAATGACTTTACTCATCGCAGACAGGTACTTGAACGAAAAATTAAACGTTTACCTGCGATAAGACCATTTTAGATTACTACACGGAAAGTTGAAGAACGACAACAATAAAAAACAAGCCTATGGAAACATTCGAGAATTCTTTTTTATTACCTAACTATTCAACTGATAGACTATATTATGTTTCGAATCAATTCCACTTAATCAAATTAAGAAAATTACATGAAAATCAGTAGTTAAGATTGCCTATTTTTTCGTAGAAAAGTCCACACTGTAAAATAAAAAATTAAATAAAAGCAAATAAAAAAAATACAAAAATGACACACAAATTGATAATTTTTTCGCGAACCATCCGTGGTCCAAATTACTTTACATCAGCACATCATTACATCATAAACTACTCTCAATTATCGTTATATGATATTGTACCTTTGCCTTTGATTTAAAATAGAGTAGGTTAAAGTTACAGAAAAATTACGGAGTTACAGAGGGGGAATTAATACTCGAAATTAGCGAGGTATTCACTCGTTCGTGGAAATATGCCAAATATTAATTCGGTAAATTGGGAAGGGTAAACGCCGCTTCCATTGTGTGCCACTCAGCTTTGTGCGAGTGGAGGCTTTCAACAAAGCCCAATTTCTCTAAATGAGGTTCGAATTGGGTTGATTCCTCTCTGTTGAAATCCATCCAATTTTGAAAGTAAATAGCCTTCTGCCCGTGGCCTCTCAAGATCCTTAAGGCTCGTGTTACACCATAAAATTACAAATAAACTGCAGAGATAAAAGACAACCAAAACTGCGTTAATGGGTACCATCAACCCCTGTGTACTCATTTTGATATTGATCAGATCCTCCAATAGTGAACCACTAGAAAGGATACGAGACTAAGCGAGACTAAGCTTTCTGAGGAGGAGATCCCGATGTCAAAGTGCCTTCAATTTTTTGCATAGGCAACACAGCTATCCGTAGGACACGAATAGTTGCATCCAGGCGCTGAGTTATCATCCGTTCGAAGTGATTCTGTTTAAGTTCGTGAATCACAAGTAATGATTTTTGTTTCTCCTCTCTCCCCCCTCCCCCCATTTCCTTTTACACATAATTTCTTAGCCAAATTTCGTGTAAAATACAATAGGTATTTCAAAACTTTCCAAATTAAACGCAAAAGTGAGAAATTATCATTTTTTTGTCACGCAGCCAAATACGGTTCCCACTTACAATAAAACCTTGAAAAAACGAATATCACGCTAGTGGAGAGACTGATCTACTTTAATCCTGAGGTAAAGGCATATAGTTACAGTGATTGTGTTTGGAACACAAACATATTTATGTGACTTATCAATTTTTTTAAATTGAATTTAGGGGCATCAATGCAACCGAGTATTTTGAATAGCACCCGAGAATAAATTTTGCCGATAAATATCAGAGCATTTTAAGTGGCAATCAACCCTATTTATCAAGAACTGCATGGCTTTGACTGAGGACCTAATGCACAGATGAGTTGTTTTCGCCTAGCTCCGCAGCAATTCTCCCCACTCAATCTCGTGTCATCCTATTCGTTGCGTCCTTGGCCCGTTGGTAAACAGACACATATAATTGTGGGCCTTAAAAACCAAAACAAGAATATTATTATATGATTACTTTCGTCCGGAAGGCTGCGTGGCACTCAATTTGAAAAAGGCTAAAATTAATTGCTTTTTCAGTTTTGATTTCAAAATTATACGCAAAGTAGAGGTACAAGCGATTTTTTCTTATCGTAAAAAAGTAAAAAATAATTAAGGAGGAATTAGGGAATGGCTAATTTAGTTAATCCTCTGTTCTTTCTACAGTTTTTATGCTATACAGCTTGAACATCCTCATTATTGTGTACCGATACAAAAGGCAGAGCGCCTTCATTTTTTGTACAGGCAACGCGGCTATCCGCAAAACACGAATAGTTGCATCAAGCCCCTGAGTTACCATCGGAACTGATTTTATCCAAAAAAGCACTGCCGAGAGTTTTTTATTTTGTTTTTTTTTCTGTGCACATTTTTGACGTGAGATTTGCATTGATTACCTCCTTTCCTTCTGGCCTAAGGACTAAGAAATTCGGAGGTTTACTCAGTAACTATTTTTCTAAAAGTCACGAGAATTTTTGGAGGATATTTAAAAATTGATTATTCTCTCACTAGATATGAAACTTTAGAGAACCATTTAAATTTGAAATTTGTTACTAGAGATCAGTCAATCGCTAATTACTCCAAATTTATTTCAGACTCTCAGTCAACAGACAACGATACAAAGCAACCGTGTTCTTTTTTAATTACGAAAAAAAGTATGCACTTTTAATATTTCTCTCTGTTTTTTTAGCTAAGTTTAGGTAATTAATTGGGAACTACTTTTTGTTTTCAGACAACACACACACAGAATCTCATCCTGATAAATTTATTCATTATCTTAATACATTAAGTATTTAGTATTAATCATTGATTTCTTAATTTTTTTTGTGTAAAAGCCGTATCCGCGGAAGGCCTTTCCGAAGTTTTTCACATTATTTACCTGATTTTTGGGAAGAAAATGGACCTTAGTGCCGAAAAATGCAACATTGAGCTAGAGTATCTTTCTAAGGAGAGTATGGACATCTCGATTTATGAAGCTCTTAGGGCCAAATGGGCGACAACGTGGAAAACGAAAATCACTAGAAAAGTGCCACTACCAACCCATGCATTTGAAAGATTACTTAATATGGCCGACAGCGCATTACAAACAAGCGTCTTAAAGGATTAAAACTTTGAAATTGAGAAAATGTAAGCGAAATCAGAGTTCTACACGTGCTTTTATAACTTTTGGTCAGTGTAAATAGTTGAACTGTAAAAATTAGTACCACCGGATAATTCGAGTTCATAGGCTGGCTCCCCTTTTTAGCCCCAAGAGCTAACCTACCGGATCAAACCAAACCTCCAAATTTTCGAATTGTCCATAGCCATAGATACAAATGCCTAGACGTGTGTTTTACAACGAAAGAAGAGAAAGGAGGAAGGGAAAGAAGAGGAAGGTGTGGAGAAAGAAAAGAAGGGAATAAGAAAAATCAATTCCAATTATTCTTCTCTCTCTTTTTCTTCGTCTTATTCCTCTCTCTACCTTTTCTTTTTTTTTCGTTTTTTTTCACCTCCTTCAGATTTCATATAAACACATCCTCACCTGACATATCAGACTACCTGCGACTTGAGTCTGTTAGTCTGTGTTCAACAGAACAGTATTCGCATTCTCGCCTCTTTATTTTCGTCCTTATGAAATGAGCTTGATATTTTGCGCAGTGCCACCGGACAACCGAGTAATCAGAACATGCGGCTGGGACGAATCTAACTACAAGAACAAGTGCTACCAACGATCCGGCTTTGGAGGTCGCCAGGAGGTCTGCTCCTGCTCCACGGACTACTGTAACGCCGCCTCCACGAGTCATCTCGCCATCGGCTCCTGTCTGGTTGCCGTCGTGTCCGTTCTACTCAAAATGACCCCACTGTTATAAGCGCTCAATCCAACCCGCTCAATACTTGAACAACAATGTAAAACAAAGGGGCTTTCGAACAATTATCTCATTAGGGTTATGAAAATTTGACTGGCGGAGTGTGAAAACACATTCGTGACAACGCGTTTTATTCCGAGTTGGCTGAAATGTCAAAATCATGATAGTACACCGGGAAAAAACTATTATTCTGAGAACTATGGGGAAAGCGATCCATGTGGATTAAGCCTTTTCATCCAACCTTTTCATCAAAAGGCTTCCATCGTGGCTTTATTCATTGGTATCATGGGATTCATGGGCTTTAATGGTGGTGTTTTTACCGCCGGTATTTTCACCGCTTATCGGTCCTTGGTAATTAATTTATTTCCATCGATCAGAAAACTAACAATACTAGTAGAATTTCATCGCTAAATGGGTAAATTTATCACTATTTTTCGCTAAAATTACCCAAAAGTGAGAGTTTAATGTACACCATTATTACGGTAATAATCAGAATTTTACTTTTTTAACGGTGTGAAAAGAGAATACGACATTTCAGTGATCCAATATCAGAGACAAATCACGACGTCCTTTAGCTTTTTGACGACACTTGATAACTTCTATTTTCAAGATTATGCCATTCATCCCTACAAAGTCTTCTCTTCTCGACTGCTGAGCAACTTGTTGAAATACACCGATGTACGCTGTATGGTGAATTTGTTCGGTTGTTTGTTCAGGAAGTAGCACAACAGCCAAGAAAAGGTAGGGGGTCTCAGAGGACAAACAGAGGGTCTCTGTTTGTCTTTTTGGAGAGGATAGAACACGAACTAAGACTATACCTACTATAATTTTTGCACTTTAAAATAGGACACAAAGCACGCAACGAAACATTTGAAAATCAGCAACTAACAAACTGTAACTTTGAGCAGTTGATTGAAGAATTCTAATTTCCTTTTGTTTTATTTTATTTATTTATTTATTTTTTTTTTGGCATTTTATAAATTAAAATCCACCAATTTTTACAGTCTTAAATTTTGAACGTACGTGGAATGGCTTTATGAGTAAAGTGTAATTTTCGATTTTAGTGTGATAATTAGAGCTCATAGGCACTTTTGCGAGTATTCTTGTCTAAATTCCTACAGAAGCTACTCACATTACTAGATATTTTTAACTACTGTTACCGAATTTTTAAACGCTGACAAGGAATGTTAGAGAATATTAATCTTTTGATCCTCATGTGAGAGAAAAGTAAGAGCTCCAGCTCTCCAAGTCCAATTTCCCTACCTCTCCTATTTTTTATATTTATTCCATCATGAGTTCTTTGCCCTCGTGTGTTCATGCCCTCTGAGCATCATTTCTTCATCGTAAGATAAAAAACAAGCTAACTACAATGTGCCGCGGACGTAATTTGAGCAGTATCGTTGTGATAATCTCGCAATTTGAATGCACTGAGTTGGGTCATTCTAACATTTTCGTAAAAAAACGATAATCATCGTGACACACTGCTCCGCAAATATTCATAACGGAAATCAATGGAAAAATCTGTTTTTATCCATTTCCAAGGAATCGACCTTGAGCAAGATCGAGTAATTTTCGAAAAAATTTAAAGATACTGAAGCAAAATTTGTACATTTTTGTGTAGGCCGTATTTTTTGTCCGATTGTCTGTTAGATTTTGGTCACAAGAACGAAACATTTTAAAGCCTCACTCCTGTATTACTCTCCTCAAGTTATGCCAACGCAGATTTAAAAATTTAGTCACATTGAAGTATGAATATTGCTTACCGTGGACATTATAGTTAGTGTAAGTTAATTGGTTTTTACTTTCTTATTCTCAATTTTGAGGAGGAAATGTTGTTTTCCTTAGCTTTTTAACTGAACTAGTTTAATAACTACCTGCGAAATTGCGAGAGCTTGCACGAATGGAATGGTGCACATCGGCGAAGTAATTTATAAATGGAGATCAGAGTTATCCTTAGAATGAATCTGGAGGTTTCCGAGAGAGACAGTAATTAAGGTCAACGAATAATTGTGTTTCACCCGTCAATGCATGTATGTTAAAGTTCCTCTAGTTCATTATTCTCTACTTACCATTGTACAGTACGTTAAATAACGTTTTTCCAATTACCTATAAAATGATTAGAAGGTTTACATTGACAGGTATGTACGATGAGAGGATACCTATTCATCCTCTCAATGATTAACACCAATATTACAACAATCAACTGAATCTACCAATCTAAAATAAAGGAAGAATAAAATATAAGAAATGAAAAATAGATGAATCACACCATGAAATGCACACCTTTTCCCTATCATATCATCGTTTGAAATGAAAACTTTTGATAAAGTTAATTTTTAAAAAAAGTTTTATTAATATTTTTGCTTAGCTTTCGAAAACTGCAGCAAAATCAGTGTCGAAGTAACTTAGGAGCTCAATCCTACATTGATGAGACATGTTCAATACTTTAAATAGGTATCCCTCTAAAATTGGTGATTATTTTGATTTGTTCGACCGTCATCACTCTTAATTAAAATAATTTCATGCATGAAAATTTAATGACAATAATACATCCCTGGCTTGATATTGTATTGGATTTTCTAATGCGCCTAGTGCCGTAAATGCAATTCGAAAATAATAAAAATAAATGAAGAAGTTACTAGTTTAATTCACATAATTTAAGATTTTAGTGTCAAATTGCTAATAATGACTTTTGTAAGATCTTATGATTTTTTTTATCCTAGTTTTAATGTCTAGTTTAATGCGATGTAAATTTGCTAGTAAATAATTTGTCTGTACAATACTTAGTGTCTTAAGTAAACTGTTGCTTGTTTTCTAACTATTTTTGAAGGTGAGACAATTACCTCTGTTTTATTTTTATATTTTCAAGTCAATAAACTATTTACAAAAGCAAACTTGATCAAGACTTGAAACCTCCTACTACTTGTCGTAAAACAAAAGTCAACTTGAGTCAAATTGATCACAAAATTACTTTCAATGTGCTTCGAGATTAAATAATCTTTTCAATGAGCGGATTTTTCCCCAAAAATTTCAAAAGTATCGTATATCAGAAGAAGACGAAGATTCTTGAGAAACTAAATCCTAGTCATTTGCCAGACTCATTACTTTGTTTTCATTGGCTAATTTGGCCTGCGTTGAACTTAGTTTTCCTGCAAGTGGGAAGTTTGAATTTACTGATTTTGCTGTAAACTGTTAACACTAAATTCTCACTTACAAGTTGTTTATGGGCTTTTAAAACTTTATCGACACGTTTTTCGCGAAATTTGTGTAACATCTTGTAGTTCTAGATAGTAAATCTATGCGGACAGTAAACTGACAGCGAGATATCGAACGAAGCTAAAATACTGGGTCCACTTCAAATTTTGGTTTAAAAAAAAACGGATTACGCCCAAGGACACAAATCAACTGTTTCTTCGCAAAAAGCTATTTTGTAAACTCTCAAATAAAGCTGAAGGTATTCGAAAACGAAATATTGAATTCGATTAGTCTAATCGGACGGTTAGTATCCGCGTTCATATTCCTCCAGCTTTCATTCAAGTTTAACGAAAAAAGTTCATAGGGAATTTAAAGCTGAAATATGTTTCAGGCGCACCGAATCCTCTTTTTGCCACAAAACAACGAAATCTGTTCTCCAGCAAAATTTGTTCAATACCTAGGTGTTTCCTCACCCCTGTCGTACTCGGAGAAAAAATTATTCGGTTCATATGAAACCCAAGGTTACCGATCGAAGAAGTTGTAGTTTTCGGTCAGAGGGAGCTCACTTCAATTCAAAAAGATTAAGTTTTTGTTGAGTAACAAAGTGGTAAAATAGTATGCAGGGTCCACACTATTTTGCGGGGTATGCAAGATCACAAACTGCCTTAGCTAAACCCCCCCCCCCCCCCCCNTTGTACTGCTATATACTCATTAAAGCTCAAATTTTTGACTATGTTTAAAATTTTTGATTTTTTTTGCCTTGCCTTCCCCCTCAATATAATGTGGATCCAGTACTATTTTACCGTCTTGTTACATACAGCTCGGGCCAGATTTCCCAGTGTTTTTTTCTTATTTTTGTTAAGCTTACTAAGGCTCCATTTTTTATCGGCGATTACGGTTATGTACCGGGTTTCCATTGCTATATTCAGTTACCTGCATACAAGAAACTGCGATGGTCCACACGGAGAAAAAAACTTCGTGCGTGGGACCCGAAGTTTAGGTGATATGGATCTCTGAAGTTTTCGGATTGAGCATCTGAACACTTTAGATCTAGCTGTCGAGGTTCGGATCACACATCTGAAACTTCAGTTCTTACATCTGAAGTACTTCGGTTTTCACATCCGAAAAACTTCCGTTCTCGCATCTGAAGTACTTCGGTTCTCGCATCTGAAGTACTTCAGATATAAGAACTGAAGTTTCAGATGTGTGATCCGAACTTTGACAGCTAGATCTAAAGTGTTTAGATGCTCAATCTGAAAACTTCAGAGATCCACATGACCTAAACTTCGGGTCCCACGCACGAAGTTTTTTTCTCCGTGTATTTTACCGTCTTGTTACATACAGCTCGGGCCAGATTTCCCAGAGTTTTTTTCTTATTTTTGTTAAGCTTTCTGATGCTCCATTTTTTATCGACGATCACGGTTATTTAAACCGGTTTTCCATTGTTATATTCAGTTACCTGTATACAAGAAACTGCGATGTTCCATGCTGACTAAAGTTCATTCCTCACTGGAAAAAAACACACATTGGATCTAGAGTCCAGACTCTTAAAAACATCGACAAGAAAAAATACTCTTGATTCAATCAGATTCAAGCTTAAATCAAGAACCAAGCCTCTTAATTTGAGCGGATTTCCTTTTGATTCAAGCTTAAATCTGATTGAATCAAGAGTCCTTTTTCTTGTCGATGTGAGTCTGGACTCTAGATCCAATGTGTTTTTTTCCAGTGCTCGTAACCGAAGTTTTTCTGTCCGCGTCGATTTACCTTAATTCCAGTGCTCGAATCCTCGCCCTGTCTAGCGGTCCATTCGCCTAAGTGACGACCTCCTCCAATTTAGAGCCGCGTTAGTTCGAAGGGACAGGCATCGGTGACGGGGGGGGGGGGGGGTCGAGGAGTTTGCGCCCGGCAACGCCCTTCATCGGGCCTCGTTAACGGGCGACAATGGCGAAATAGCTCACACCCGCGCTTGTCGGCCGTAACGGAAGTCCCTTTGCAGCGATATCTGGGTTAACAAGAATAATCGAGTCACAATGGCCACCGACCGGCCCCGGCGATGGGAGCTCCGAACAGCCCGTCGGATCGACTCTCCTGAGCCGTGCTCTGATTAACTCCGGAGGTTACAATGCCAGTGGCCGGTGGACAATGCGGGAAAAGTTCCGAAGCCACCCGCGCCCGATAAATTTCCAGACTCTTGAAAACATTGAAAAGAAAAAATACTCTTGATTCAATCGGATTTTTGCTTGAATCAAAACAAAATCCGCTTAAATTAAGAGGCTTGGTTCTTGATTTAAGCTAGATTCTGATTGAATCAAGAGTACTTTTTCTTGTCGATGTTTTTAAGAGTCTGGACTCTAGATCCAATAAGTTTTTTTTTCCAGTGTAGAATGCACACCTAGCCTGTTGGTGGTTACATCAGCTACAATGTTAATTGCTACAGTAAACCGAGATTTACGATGATAATTACCGGGAATGTGTTGTCTATCACGGTAGATAACGTAAAGTATCGCACAATAGCTGGTGCACTTTTAACCAGCAACTGGTTGTAGTCGCTCACGGAAAAAAATAGATCGCTGATTTAAAATTGTTAAAAAATATGTCCGACATGTTTCAAATGTGCATTGTACATTTGACACATCAAGCTCCAATCGTCTGTTCACTGTTCAAAATTGCAAAGATTTCGAAGAGAAAATTCCGAATTTCAATTCGGAACACATTGCACTCCGGGTAGTATACGTAATGGAATCAGGCATGCAGAGTGGTCCCTTTAGAGTGAAACCTGAAAATATTCAGCACCCGGCGAAAAAACTGATTGAAACTGATTTGCTGAAAAACTGATTTTCGATTCTGTGCGCTTCCTAATACTCTTAAGAACATTTGACCCAAAAAAAGACGTTTGAAATGACATGTAAATGTGGCAATGGCATTGTCAAACTCAATCTGTGTTTCACACTACGTAAAATTACCTAGCCTGCTTACTCAACGACTGTGCTAGTTGAAATTTACTTTTAAAATCAGATCCCTTCATTAAATAAGTAACAAATGTCCTAAAATGAAATGAATCTAATTTTTCCTCTAAAAGAAATACAATTGTAGCTCGTTCAAAAAGTCTGAATTTTTAGTTTTTCAGTAAGTTCAACATGAGACACTTTTTGAAACCATCACGATTTGAAATACACGACGTAAAAATATCTATACAGGGACAGAAGTTGAGTAAATTACGTAGAGGCCTCAAGAAGGGTTTGAATAAATACGAGCACAAGGACAGCCTTTGATGAAACATTTTTTACGACGCCTCTCAGAAGATTCTCATCTGACAATGTGACGTCTGGAAGGCGAGCTGAAGTAAAAGTTATGAAAATTATTTAACAGCATTCCAACAGCAGCAGTGACACCGCAAAAATAAGTCGTGCAGAAAATAAATTATAAAAAATTGAAATGCTCATTGATGACTACTCGGTAAGTTTGATAAAGGCGGCTCTTATCATAATTAAATCGCCCGACGAACAAGTCTGCCAACAGTCTGCGCACAAACGAATACAGCGCCGATAAAGCCGTCATCGAAAGGGAGTATTTTTTTTTTTTTTTTTTTAAAAAAAAATGAAAACGTATCAACAGGGATCTGTTCCATTCCGTGTGATGTGCAACGTATTGAGCCGCGAAAAAAGTCACCACAGCTAGATGCACAAGCCGTGCTTTTTCCCATACTGTAAAAATAACAAAGAGTAACTTTGACACAAATCTTCGATAATAATCCGATTGAAAATCGGTCATGTTCGAGAGGATGTTCGTGAGTTTCACAGTAACGTGCGTCCTAGCTCTTTCAACCCCCTCGTCTTGTGAAGTGCACCTTGTAAGTATACTGAATTCATGAGATTGGAAATGTAAATCTTGTAAACACGCTGTAAGTATACCCAGTAAGCTATGATCGGACGATTTTCAGGGTCTCTCTATCGAGATAATAGTGAACTCGATCTGTTCAGCATTCAACTTCAAATTTCGTGGAGAGGGACATACTGATTCAAATAATGCTAGGAAATAAAATTTCTCTCAGTTTTATAGCAGTCTGACTCTTTCATTATTTAGAATCTTTTTATACACTCCTATGTATTTTTCAGATGCCTTTATACTTTGACGTATTCATGCGAGTAGGAACTATAAACAAACTGATGGCCAAAATGCAAACCCACGGATCTCCATGGAGGTGTTTTAAAAACTACTATCTTATTTTTTTGAAGAGAAACAAGCTAACTGTATGGCTTGAAATTCATGCAGAATATTCTGCTAAGGAGAAGAGAAATTAAGGAAGTTTTCAAGAAATTACTTTGACTAATCTTCGAAAGAAATGGCGAAGAATGATAGGAAATTTGCAACATTGCAAACAGAGATACGCGGTTTTGCATTTTGGATATCGAAATTTATTAAATTGAAAGGGACTATGTACGTATGCATTGCACACTTGGAAGGATTTCGTCCGAATCGGTCAGGCTGCATTCACGCTGTCCAATTTTCTCTTATATGAATGGTATTTTTAACCCATAACAGAACAACCGATTGTGTAAAACCTTCTCTGAAGTTTTTTCTCTGAATTTTAGAGAATATATATGATACAGTCTATTGGCGAAATTGTCTATTGCGCAGCTTTTTTGTCCCGTTCGTATACCTACAGGTCACCCCCCGTTGCCCATTTCGTAAAGTGGGCGGCCCAGCGGACTGGTTGGTCAAAAGCCTGAAAATTAAGCCAATCGGCCAATCAATTTCAAATGCGATGCATAGGCTAGTCGACGAATGTCCCCTACTGACCGACTTCTGACGGATTATCCCCGAGATTTTGAACGAAACTTAAAAGTATCAAAACAATTTACAGGTTATGCAAACAAATTTTACACCTTATTCCTTCTATTTTGCTGAGAAGATCTTAAAAAAAAAAAAAAAAAAAAAAAAAAAAACTCGTTTTATACATTTTACTTATATTTCTAGTATCTTGAAAGTGCGTGTTGCGTTCTTAAAAATTGGAGGCACCTCCGAATTCCAAAGGCTATACACCGAGTTGACTGTAGCGCCTTGAAGCAACTATTCGTGTTCCACGGATGTGCGTGTTGCATGTTCAAAATTGAAGGCACTTCCGCTTTTCTGACTTCTTCAGAGATGCACGGGACTCGTTGTATGCAGCACTCTAATAACAGAGTACCCATACTCGTATGGGGAGAGAATTACCATTTCCTGACGCGAGGCCAGAATATCTCTTATTAAAGCGCAAATAAAGCATAAAGGTACCAAAGTAAGTGAAGATTGATTTTAAATCACTCGGAAAAGGAAGCACGCGATATTCAGAGTCAGGTTTTCGTGCTAAGGAAGAACGCCGTATGAGCATTCGAGAGTTGCCGCAAATTTCCTTTGATAAAATGTTTATTTTAGAGGAATATTATGAATATTTTTCCTTGAAATTTTCAGGAACTTAAGATCAAAGTACAAACAAAATTTTCTAAAAACTTGGTAGAAAAATATTCATAGGTTTATTAGCGAATTCGTGTTGTATCACAAAAACTTTGGCAACGCCTGAAGGTTCTTACGGCGCTTTTCCTTAGCACGGTAGTCTCTTTTGCATACCACTTGCCAACTGCGCTGCTCGGCTGTAATGAAAAGGTTTGTCGACTTGGTTCTTGCGTGCACATTTTGACGGTCAACCCACCTGTTGTAGACCCTCTCGCGCGACCGTTGATTAGTTGACTGAGCTGTTGAACAAGCTGTTCTGTAATTAGCGCCTCTTCAACCTGCCAACCTTTTGATCGGCGCCGCCAGCAAGTTTACACGCCCTTTGAAAGTTTCTCTCAAAAAGGAGCTCGGAGTAAATGAAAAACTTCACTGACGATCTTTTGTGTCGACGAAATTTCGTTACCTTGCAACGTGCCAATTTCACGCACAACGTGAAGATCTCCCCAGAAATTTGAACCCCCGCTCTGCCAAAATATCATATTATTGCTGGGAGAAGTTTAGTAACTGCTATCTCGAACTATGACGCTGCTTATTTTGCATCCTTTTTGTTTTCAAAAGGTTACTTATAAGTATTTCATTTTTTTGTTTTTTGTTTTGTTTCTTTGTTTGCGTCACAAGAGATGGTCTTGAAAATTACAAGAAAACATCCGGATTAATAGAAACGGACTGCTGATTAATAAGACTGCCAGAAGAAAAAGAAAATGGATTTTCTTTTATAAAGATTGGTAATATTGAAAATCAGTATATACTTTGATGTGATGGAACTGAAAACCATACATTCTGGTAAATGACGATCGAAAATACCTGTCATATCTCACTCAATTTCAATGAAATATTATTAGATGGAATTTCTTGAAAAATTTAATGTGTTTCCCATCCTATGCAGAGGATATTCTGGCGAAATTCTGTGAATATCCAAGCAACAGGGTAGTTCTCTGTTCTGTTCAAACGATAAATTGGAAAATTCAATAAAACTGCAGTCAAGGGAAAAAATTGCATAGATTTATCATCGACATACTTATTTTCAAGGATTAGGATGTATTTTTATTGTGGAAAATTATTGTTATTCCACCTATTCAATCCGAAAAAAGTTTCATGTTTTGACAACAAGCGCTTGCCTCTGAGTTCTAAGCACGCGCACCCACGTTTATGGAACATTAACTTCACTAATCAAAGCTAAAATAGGGTTAGCTATAGCAAGTCACCATGAGTGATTTAACCAATTTTTTTTTATCTCTATTCATATTCCAGTTCCTCTTATCATACTTTCTCACTCGAAATCCAGCGATCGCTTCATTTTTGAGTTGATTCCGTGTCCTGTATCTCATATCAGTTGTGAGTGATCGTAACTTCTTGATAATCTTTTTGATATGGTGATAACGCCACGCGGTTGTTGTGGCGTCTTGAAACGTATATAAATCTCCATCATACATTATTTTAGGTCTTTCAACATCTTTTACCCGCGGATTACGCATTTCGGTTGTGTTTCCAAAAGAAGTGCGCACTTTAAATCCATTTTCCACTTTTTACCATTCTTCCAATTATTAAGGTACGCTGTATATTTATCGTTAGTAAACATTTTAAGGATGGCCCAGAGACAATGAAGATGTTGCATATGTGAGGAATTTTCGATTTGACTGTAGATTTTTACGTAAATGTTCGCGAGAAACACGATGGTGCCACTGGTTTTCTCTGAAATCAATTCCCAAGTTTAAAAAAAGCTCTCAAGTTGAGGCCAAAATGGAGGGGATATCCCACGCTATCCTGAGAGTTCACCTCTACATCAAGACAAACTCTCCATGCAAAGATAGGGAGCGAATACATAAGCAGGGTTGCTTTGTTTTCAGTTTTGGAGTCCCCGAATAAAGTGGCAGCCCTGTCAATGCATTTGCTCCCTATCTTTGCACGGAGAGTTTGTTTTGATGTAGAGGTGGACTCTCAAGATAGCGTGGGAAATCCTCTCCATTTTGGCCTCAACTCGAGAGCTTCTTTTAAGCTTGGGAGTTGATTTCAGAGAAAACCAGTGGCACCACCGGGTTTCTCGCGAACTTTTACATGAGAATCAACAGTCAAATCGCAAATTCCTCACACATGCAACATTTCCATTAAAGGCCCTCCAACCAATGCCGTGTTATAACGAAGGGAGCATATAAGTCCAAACTTGAAGTTTTGAGGAGGTAGACCTAACACTGTTCGAACGGAAAAATGCGTAGCAAAGATCCTTCAACTTTCGTAAAATTGTGAAAAATCAGTCAATGCATACTTATTAATCGCTCCATCGGTGAAGAAGCTACGAATTATATTACTGAGTGTGAAAAAAGAGACTTATACGCAGCATGATAGGCAGTCAGACGAGCGACTAGTCCTCAGCAGGCTTATTTGCTTATGCTTTCAACAAATTACAAACTAATTTTGAAAAAAAAAAAAATTGCAGTAATTACAACCTTTTTGCGGAATGATGAGAGCTTACTGAAATTTTGTCGAAAATCTGAGTCGCAGTCTGAGTTTTTATTGCTCCCCGTCATTCTTCGCCTTTTGCAAGTAGGATGAATTTTGTTTGAGTCGTATAATTCAGTTCATTTAAAGTCGATTGGTGAGATTTTGACGGGGACTCGGTCGCAAAAAATCAGTCATTCTTCTCTTCGGTAACACGTTTATATTCTACTTTTGGGGATTCAACTCAAAACTGCTTGTTGGCTGCTAAGCAACTTATTGAGTTATTTGTTAGACAAGACAATGAAACATCTTTTTCTTTACCAAACGGACTGCCCCACACCAACAAGAAGTCAGTTCCAAGGAGTTTGTGGTGCAACTGCAATAGTAGAAGTTTCCCATATCGTCACCAACAGCGGGCTGATTATTGAAATTGATAGACAAAGCTATAGACAAAGATGACAGAAGGGATATGGAGGGAACCTGTTGGCGGAAGCGGGTGGTTGCAATGGACAAAGGCAGTAGGTTATAGACTAACTAACGGCAACTCACGAGAAACCCGACAGCAAGTCCATCATTTTCTCCTTTAGTCTATAAGAGCCACACATCTCAACTAATAGGCTCGCTCCATACCCCCTTTGTCTTCTTTGTCTATAGCTTTGTCTATCAATTTCAATAATCAGCCCGCAGGTTAGACTGGTGCGCCTGGACCTCTGCTTGTCTTCGAAAAGGCCTAACGTTCTGAACATATATTTTTAAGAGTTCAACGCGTCAGCTGGAACTTTTTCTTTATTATATTGCGGAGTAAAATGAGTCAGGGATTCTGTTACCTTGCATCTGACTTTGAACTATCTCATGATTTTGTTATTAACATTCAAGATTGAAAGAATGTAAAGAATTTACATACCTACCATATTGCACACGATATAATTTTTTTATTGAATGATACAAATTATTACACTTCGGCCTAGACATCCATTAAATCATTACTGAGGAATCAATCAGATAAAGTGCGACGAGTCTCGTCGTCACTAAAGCTTCATCAAAAGAAAAAAGAATTTAAGTGACTGCCCTGGTAAAAATTGGCAGTAGAATGTGTGTTCCAAAATACTATAGATCTAAAGCCGGCTGTAAGATTTCCAATAGCTTCTGTAACCGGCTTTACAATTTCTTATAGCCATTCATGGCCGATGGCGATTAAGCAACAGCCAGACGATAAAGTTTATGCTAAACGTTAATAAATACGGATACCAGGACTTAGTTAGTTTTTGGACTACCGCTCTCTTTCTGTGCCTTAGTATCTTGATTTATTTTGCGAGGAAAGCTCCGTGCTTTTGAAGAATACCTGTCATTCTTAATGTGTTGGAGCGCCTTCAATTTCTTATGATCCTGTGCAATACCTCTGGTGTGAATAGTTGCTTCAGACGCCGTGGCACGCTGCGGCGCATCAGGCGGGCAGAGAGCGCGAAACGCGCATTGGCGTCTACAAACCTAAAAGGGATATTTCATGCATTGCGCAATGCGTGAAGTATCCCTGTTAGGTTTGTAGGCGTCAGTGCGTCGCCGCTCCGTTTGTGTTATGCTCTAATATTTAATCTCGCGGAGTCAGCGTTTTTCAACTCATGATTTTGAAATGTTTGCACACTCTGTATGGATTATTCTCATTTTAATTGATGAAAAAAATATGTTTTAAAGCAAAATATAATGTGTGTTTTGTAAATATTAAGGTAGTTTCGTATAAAACTTAATGATTTCCAAGGCACACGAATTTCCACACAATTTCCTATAGCCTTTTATAGCCAATGACGATAAAGTGTAAAGCCCGGCGATAGGAACTATAGCCCGACTGTATACTTTTTTATAGCTTTGTATAGCCCGGCTATATGATTTGCTCCGCTTTCTACAGCCAGCTATATGATTTTCAATAGCCTTCTTTAGTCGGCTATAAGAACTCCTATGGTATTTTGAAACGCAGCTCCTATCGCCAATTTTTACCAGGGTGTATAATTGGTTTGTTTGATTGTGTTTTATTGTTGTATTAATGACCTGATGATAAGGTATTCATTCGGTAAACCAGGATTGCGCGAAAGGTCTAAGAAAATATATGAGGTTTGCGCGAACAAGGCACCAGGATTGCGCGAACAAGGCACCAGGATTGCGCGAATAGAAACCTTGACATCTGCGACTCGAATGCGCGAATTAAAAATGAAGTTTATTTAAGGTAGAAGTTTGGCAAAACAGGAAACAGTTGAAAAATAAACGCATTTTTATGTTGACGCTAGTTTAGGTTAGTTTATTGACAAGTCGTCGATGTTTTACCTCTGATGATAAATGAGGTTTTTTTTTTTTCTTCGAAGATGAGTCCAGAGATATGCTTGACTCCACCTCGGCGAGCCAGACGACGAATAGCGGGCCTGGTGATACCCTGGATGTTATCGCGAAGCACTTTTCGGTGACGCTTGGCTCCACCTTTGCCGAGACCTTTACCTCCTTTACCACGTCCAGTCATGATTGAGCTGTTTCAAGAATCAAAACGAGAATCTGGTGAGCACGAGAATGAGGTGAAAAGTTTGAATGATGGTCGTGGGTATGAAGAACTTTCCTCACATTTCTCGGAAAAGATATTTAATCTGAGGAAGCAAGGCAACATTGGAAAGCGCATACGGCATCGAAACGCAAGCCCCCCAGGCATAGGCCTTTCAAGCTCTATTATTCGATGTCGCGATTTTTCTAGCGCCAGTTCGAATAATCGCGCTGCCAGCGTTTAACGTATATTAGCGCCTGCAAGACTTTAAGAATACTTCACGCATTGCGCCAAACAGTGCGATCGGCGTCAAGCCAATATTCGCGCCTACAAGACTGCATGAAAACTTCTCGCATTGCGCCAAACGCAGTGCAGTCGGTCAGTTGGCATGAAACGCATATCAATACCTACAAGACTGTAGGAATGCGTGTCATCATTCTTGGCATTCGCGCAATCCTATCGCAGCCCATTCATTCACGTCAAAAAGCAGCGGCTAAAATTTGAAAAACATTATGAAATTAGTGATTGAATGTCGCGCTATTCTTAGAATCTTTTTGATGATTTCAGATTATATATTAGCAAAATATATCACGATCTATCCAAACACCAAGTTTTTACGCCTGATAATAACAAAGACATATCCTTTAAAAAAAATCAGCGTAAAACGTCACACCTTGTGATGATGTATACCCTGGTTTCTCCCACCTTGGAGTCATCCGTGATTAAAGTCGAGCAACTATCGCGCATGTGTGTATCGCTATATGGACGTATTTATACTAAAAGGAACTATGTTGTACACAAACCCTATGCACATAGTACCTTTTAGCAAAAATACGTCCAAATGATTAATCCGAAGAAGAACCATGGTGCTACCGCGGGGCATGACGTCATGCACCGTGCTTTTTGAAGGGCAAAATTTCCGTTGAGTATTATCAGTGAACGCAGATTTTCGGCTTATTTTGGAGGGATCATAAATTATTTTGCTAATCTACAACCTTAAATCATCAATACTGGATTTTATGATTTTCGCAGATGACCCATTCTCTGCATTACTCTAAACCAGGATAATTCGGTGTTTGAAGAGATCCAAGACTCATAACATTTTTCCGTTCCTTGGTTTCAGGGAGAAATCGTGTCCCTCTCTGCCTTTTGCACCGAACTGAATAAAGAGACTTTCTGCACAGAGCAGTGCACCAACATGGCTCGAATGGCCATTCAGAGGATTTGTCAGGACCGCAGACTGTCGAAAACATACACCGCACTAACCCAGTGCGAACACGCAAAAGCTGGAATCTGCCGCTGGTTCAGATGCCGCTGCATGGACCCTTCCTCCTCAGAGCCCACCTCGCAGATTTCTCTTCGTTATTGTAAAAAAACCCTCCTAAAATATTTCGAACTGAACGAGGAACTTGGAACGAATGGGTTTGAGGAATATTGAAGCTTTTATAAGTCGAAAGCGTGAATCTGCTATCGATATTTTCTAATTTGAAACCGCATCGTAAAGAATCGATTACTAATGACTTCATAACAGTCGATACTTTTCCATACGTTTAAATGGCAGAAAGACCGATTCATCGCAAGACACACTTTCTGGAGCGCGTCGTAAAATCGGTTAATGACCTCAAGTCATTACTATGCAAATTTCTACCGATTTTACGACGCGCCCCAGAAAGTGTGGGAATCCGGAAGGGATCACCGACAAACACAGAAAAATTTGAGACAAGGAAGTGAAAAAACCAGACGGGTCAAGCTGAAAAAAGAGACTGGAGCGGCGTCTAAAGGACGCCGCTGACGATAGGGAGGATTGGAGAGTTTGATATTACTAATTTTCTGGTTTCGTAAACTGGAAATTTTCCCAGGGTGCTTGTTGATGTTGGTCCCGGGGTCCCGGTTGGGGGAGTGAACAGATTGGCCCAGATATTCCGGACCACATTTCACCAAAAACTGCTGTTTGTCAAACCGCCGTCAACACCTACCAAGCGGCGAGTAGGCCTTCGGCCATGCTCGGCAATCTTCGTAGCCAATCAGGTTGCCGCTCACCGCCCGTAATCTCGAAGAAGGTTCGGCTCCTACACCACCCTACACTCTTCGAATTTTGGATTTTGGCATTCGGTCTAATTCTCTTTTCCTCTTTTCCGTAATTAATAACAATAAAAAATTCATTTAATCATTACTTAGCGGCACCTTGTCCAATTTGTGCCTAGCGCCTCTACAACTTTGCAAATTTGGACGTTACCTTTTGAACATTTAATCCCTTCCCTTTGAAATTACTTTGAATAAGTACACTTCACATATCACACGGGACTTTTATCCGCATATTTACTTGGCTTTATTCGCAAAGGATCTTTTAAGAAGTAAATTCTTTCGATAACTTATTGGGGATGGTCAAGTCACCAATTAGAGCCTGTCATTTCATGCCATTATTATTACAGGACTAGTCCTGTAATAATTATGATTTAATTTATTGATTCATTTTATTTTATTTGATTTCATTTAGTTTTAATTAAATACTAAAATAATTTTATTTAAAATCTAAATTTAAATTTCTGCATTTTCATATATTTTTTAATTAAAGATTATCAATCTTATTTAGGTATATTTGATATTTCTTACCTATAATTTGATGGGCACCGTGAGAATAATAGATAACCACAGTATTTGATCCGTGCCTTAAAAAATGAACTGCTGGTGGCAGAACCATCTTGGTGATGATCATTAGGAATTTTAGACTTTATTCTATTTTTTCAGCAGATGAACCTTACATGGTAACTTGTAAAGTCTTGCCTCATTTTCCTTGAGCTCTACTTAGTTTGATGCCAAAAAACAAGAAAATTCATGGAGAAACGTGCCTTAAAGGGATAGGTCCCCCTCATACTTACTATCAGAGTTCCAACGGAAAAAATCTTGTTGTCATAGGTAAATACGGTTTCCATTGCTTCTTCAGCTGTTAATAGACAACTATGCGGGTTTGCTGGAGAATTTGGTGACTGCTAGGATTGTTAATTAGTATCATCCGAAGCCTGGTTGTTATAGCTAAACTTAAAGCATTGGCTTCAACGCATCGCAAAACCAGAACCTTGGAGAGACCAGCGAACATCCATGAGAAAGTGAGTGAGGAGCAAGGTACCTAGCATTGTACATCCGTCTGGTTTTCACAACTACCGTTCCTAGGGATTTGGGATTCAGATTCGCACATCAACCAGTAAGCTTTTCTCCCAATCATCTTGATATAGAGGCAGCTATGCAGGGCGCAGCCAGGTAGTCCAATGCTCAAGCCACTTAACACAAATATTATCCTAACTTACAACAAAATGACTTGTTTCTTCTCTAACAATGGAACCGGAAAATGTTACTTTGAATGCGCGAGAAACTTCTTTGGTCGAGATGAAGAAACGTAAGTGAAGAAATGAGTCCGGAACATCTCGACCAGGTACAGGCCGCTTTGTTTACATTAGGAGTCTGGAGTATCTCGCCGCAATTTCACTTGAAATCACCATGAACAGATCAACGGGGTAACTGATATTTGATTTTACGAAAGGGATAAATGTTAGACGCGGACGAAAGTTCTTTTGTCGAGGTGAAGAAACGCTAACGCTGAGAAATTGAGTCTGGAACATCTCGAGGAAGTCCGCTCTGAGTCCGCTTTGTTTATGTCCGGACTATGTCGCCGTTCGTTTGTTTACATTAGGAGCGAGTTTGACACCGATGACAGACTTTGGTTTTTGATGAAAATTTGGTCTGGAATATCTGGGCCAAACGCAAAAACCCGGTTGGGGGGTTTGAAGTAATTTTCCTAATTGTGAACCTGGCTGGATGTTTGGTTGAAGTAGTTGCATTGCTGGGGCTGGAATGAATGGGGCGGTGTGAAACATGCGGCGAACTGTTGTATCATGAACTAAGAGATCGAGCAGTCTTTTTCCTGCTAAAAGTAGGAAAAAGACTGCTCGTGAAATGAAGATCATCTCCTGATTAAAATTGGTTTGGCAGAGAGACCGATTGGGAAATCCTAACTTCCATTTTCGTCAGCCTCAGTGGTGTAGTGGTCAAGGCAGTTCGCTGCCAACACTGAGGTCCCGGGTTCAATCCCCGGAGGTGACTGTGGATGACTATGCCACTCCAATACCCTGACCCTTCGAGGTAACAGGGTGCGGGAGGGACATGGTCACCTAGGGTGCGTCAAAAAAAATGAAAGTCTGAAATGTTCCGCTCCCCAGGCGGCAATCGATGACGTTTGGTAAAAAAACATGTTTGCCAAAATTTGGGCCAATTTCAACCATTTTAAATGGTGCCAAAGGTCAATTTTGTGATGAAATTATGATATTTTGGTTTAGACCTCGATTTCGTACAAAAAACTCGATTTTACTCGACTTCGAGTTTTTTGTACGAAATCGAGGTCTAAACCAAAATATCATAATTTCATCACAAAATTGACCTTTGGCACCATTTAAAATGGTTGAAATTGGCCCAAATTTTGGCAAACATGTTTTTTTACCAAACGTCATCGATTGCCGCCTGGGGAGCGGAACATTTCAGACTTTCATTTTTTTTGACGCACCCTAATGGTCTCCCAGTAAGTAATCCGTCTGCACTGTTCGACTGGGTTGTGAAAAATCGGTAATCACTCGTAGTGTGCGCGACTGCCAGCGCTACCTATCAGTGTAGATTGCAACAACACAGTCCAACTAGGTGGAGGCATGGCCGTGCTCTGCAGCGTCTGCCACAGTCTTTGATAAGGCTTTCCGTTGGGTATCAGACGGCCGCTGAGCCTTGCGGGAATATAGAGGATACACAATGTGTCAATAGTACAAAGTTAAAAGTTAAGGAGCACGGTCCAACTTCGGGGTGCACGACGGCAGTAGCCAGTTGCCTTGGCCCCTTGGGGGCGCCTCGCCGGTCAGCCCGGCCTTTACTTTACTTACTTACTTACCTCCATTTTCGCTCCTGATCATTTTTGACTGACAAAAATAATTCGAAATGTTTGCAAGGGACCGATAGTTATTTAGAATAATTTTGAATATGATGCATTCCTTATCTCTTTCCAAATCGAGTTTCAGTATGATAATTTGGAACAGCAGTCCACAGAGCATTGTTTTACTTTAGACATACAACTTTGCGAAATTTTCACGAAAATCATGAGCACACAAGACGATAAAAAAAAAGTTTTTAAACTGGACCTCGTGTGTGTTGCAACACTTACCCAGAAACCCAGCAATACTACACAAACTACTGTAGACTCGAATTATTTAATTTGAAAAAGTTGAATCACTCAAAAAAAGAATAAATAATTCCTGTAGGGGCACTAAATCACTGACATAGTTATGAAACCAGCACAAAGTACATGATTAGTAACAAATCAAAATACAACAATTCAGGATGAAATTCTTACTTATTTGCCATAAAGAAAATTTGAACGCCTTTAATAATTGTGTTTTAAAATTCCGTTAAGAGAAAATTGCAATTTATACGGAATGATTTAAAGAATCCGTTTCAGATTACTGGTAAAACAAACAGAATGAGAAATAGAGTGCAGGATAAAAATGAATGGTTCCTGAATCAATACAAGAAAAAATCTAAGAAAAAATCGCGATCTTCCTCCTCGTCAGGATAGGGGAGGACAAGAGGCTCTTCAACCTCCTCGTCAGATTCGTACACCTCCTCCTCATCCTCGGAGCTGTACATTTCATCTTCCATGCCTTCGTTGGGCGGAAACTCCTCCTCCCAGTGGGCTCTGGCCTCTTCCTGCTCTTGCAACTGTAAGAACACAAAGAAAAGGAATAATTTTCCGACCGAAAATCTTCTACTTCAAAACTGCATGTTACAAGCAACAATCATAAAGAGGGCATCTTCGAGAGTAATATAGCATACGAGGGTTCAAAATTCTCTGAAGCATACTGAGAAACTTCTGCACTCTTCTGTGTTTTACTCTTACAGTATAGGAAAGGATTTTTTTTCTTTATGAGTTTTGCCCCTAATCTCTCTATTTTTATCTCATATTCTCCAATTGTTTTAATTTTCTCTAATTTTTCTCATAACTTATTATAACTTTTGAAATCTATTTTGAGAGGGATTGGGGCATTATACAATATGGGTGTCATACCTGATATATATCCCACTATTATTGACCGACAGCAAGTTTTAGCAATATGAAACATTAGTTCCAACGATCTCGCTTCTTTTAGAAGCATCAGAGACGCATACCAACACACAAGCGTTTCGTTGTCAACCTACAACGAGAGCATTTTCCAGAATGGCAAAATCCTAATGTACCTCGACCCCATGTTGAAACCTGCCCCGGCATCATAGTCTTCCTCAAAAGTAGTCAAGTTGTAATTGATTTAATAATTTATTGACTGACTTGATTTTGTTCTTTTTTTCTTTTTTTTCTATTTAGACTTCGGAAAATCTTAAACCTATGCAGATAGTGCATAAAGTTGCCGTGGCCAGAGAAGAGCTAGGTTAGGAAGTAGTCGGTTTCCATTCTCCGGTCCCGCAAGAGCCATTGACTGACTGATTGACATTGACTTGATTGATATTGATTGATTAATGCTTGATTTTCTTGATGGCACAAATTGGGAACATGGTGAAAGTTTTGCGTGGTGTTTTTTACAAATAATTAAGACTTATTGATAATCAAATTTCCCCCTCTATAGTTAGTAATGGTATTGCATTGAAGTCGTATGACTTTGGAATCTACGACTAATGATGCTTTAGTTGTTTCATTTGTTTAGAAATGTTAATAGAGTTTTTAGAACGGCTTTCTATGCTTTTCTATTGAATGGCGTGTTGAATTTCATTGTTGTAGTCGGTGTGGGTAATTAATTTTTTTTATTTTTTTTTTTTTTATATATTTACAACGGGACTACAAAGTATTAACCGTCTTAACATTATTACTATACAAGGAGAGATTAAAATATGAACTGGTGAGTCGGTAGACTCTAGCTTATCTTAGGCTTATAAACAGGAACTATTTACAAACGTTATGCTAATTATTGATTCTGCTTCCCAGCGTCCAGCAGGCACCATTGTGGCAAAAGATGGAAGTTAAATGGAAATTAAATGGAAATTAAATATAATACGGTGTGGTAGACTAAATGATGTCGAACAAGTAAACAATTGAAAATGGTATTTTTTAATTTATTCATTGAGTAAATGAGGTTTACACATAACATAGATATTCAAGATACACACGACTGCCAATACATAATTAAAGATCATAACTTAATAAAACCCTGTGACCGCCCGAGGTCATTACTTTGGGGGATGAATGTATTGTGAGAGATGAAAACTACTGCAAAAGCAAACTTTTCGAGCCATGGCATGGTTTTTAGTGCAAATTCAAAGAGAACGTTGGAACAAAATTAGAATAGATGAAGGCAAAGCCATGAAATTACAATAAAATATGAAGCTATTAACACGAAGGTATTTGGAACGTGAGGGCCGACCGTGTAGGGGATCTACGTAGCAAAACCAAAACAACGAACATTACAACGGCATGGGTCAGAGGGCGACATAGTCAATCAGAGCCCAGAGGACGTTAGAGGGCATACAGAAGAATTACCAAGAATAATTCCAGTTAATCCGCCCATGGTAAATAAAAATAAAAATCCTGTAAATCAAAGAACAAGAGGACACCCTTATACGACCCCCAGGACGGGAGGAAAACGCAGGAGGGGACCCCAATTAAGGGGCTATCCACACAACTAACACCCCAAAAAGAAATATTAGAATTTGTGAGTAAGGCTTAGAATAAAGGTTTTTTTATTATTATTGTTGTGTAACGGAGAGAAAAATGGCGAATCTTCGCGAAGATATGGCAGTTTAACCACTTTGCTCAACCGGACCCGGCGACCCAGAACCCGGGGATTACGACTGCCATTTGCTTCGCACTACCACCCCCATAAGTCTCTGTTGAATTGGTCGGGTTATCCGTTAACAGAACTATCCCTGCTTTATTGTTTATGGCAATTGAGTTTACTATGTCTGTAGAAACGAGCCTCTTTTTTGCATTGCAAAGAACCACATCGGGGGTTGGGTTTGAAGTCGGCATTATATTTACATTCAGAATTTTTTTTTTCCTTACTAATATGTTCCTTATATATTTATATGTACATTTCCATTGGTTCTTGTCGTAATGTTGTATGGTTATGAGTAGGTCGTCAGCATATGCTAATTTTTCAGATTTTGGGTCTGTTTGAAGTCGTAATGTATCATCAAAAGTAATATTCTTTATTGAAACAAAATGTTAAACGATCTGCTTTAAGGTCTAATCATCACATTGTAAATACTTTAACATGTATTTTACTGAATGAATAAAATAAAAAAAATAAAAGTAATACTCCATATCAAAGGAGATAATACCCCTCCTTGACAGCATCCACTATTGACGCTGAAAAACTTGCTGTTGCAAAATATTATTGAATTCTTTCATTTTCTCTCTTTCTTAAATCAGTTAGGTTAGCTAGTGCTGTTCTGTAGCTCGATCTAATCATCATATCACACTGATTATGTAAAAACAATTTGTGCCAAACTGACACAGGACATCTTTAAAATCACATTATTCTTGAAAATGAAAACATCTTCATTCGATTAAAGTAAGCGCATGGATATACGATTTATAATCACGCCTTGTCATGTAAAAAGATACCATTACCCGTTTTTTGTTACACAATCCTTAAATTAAATAACTTTAATGATGTATGTATCCTTCTTTTTTTTTTCATTTCATGACCCTCGGTTTCACGCAGAACATTGGAAACGATAAGATTTCAACGAAACAATTTCACTTCACATCATGTTAATTCCCAGAACTCAAGTATTCACGGATGGTACTTTTCTTGTCTGCGGGCTTAAAAGCCCCTTCATTACCAAATGATGCAACAAGAAGTATTCATTCGTCTTTTCTCAATCCCTCGAAACTTTTTGGGAGCAAGAGCTTTTTAGAGAATCAGCGAAGAGCAGAATTCTCTATTCGATGCAAAATACTGCCCAATGTAAACTGACGAGCAACCCCCCCCCCCCCCCCCCCNACGCACGATTCCTCCCTGTCCAATTAACATCGATCAAACAAAGAGAAATATCTCATGACATGGTTCGTTTGTTAATTTTTTTCATTCGATCAATGTTTATATTTTCAAACGTAATGCATACCAAACAGTGGGTATAGGGATATGATCTCGCATGGTCGAAAAAGAATAATATCAGCAAGCTGAAACGTCCTCGAATATTTTCCCATTGAGCGTCTATTGAAAGGCAGCAAGAGAAAACATTCGACCTATAGAAAGAGGAGTCCCGTCATATTCGTGGCGCACAAATATTTGCTTTGTAAACATCGACCCAAAACACGCACAAAATTCTCTATAGAGTAGACTCGCGATTTATCGATCGATTATTCTCGATTATTTTCTGTACTTTGAGGGTTGTATTGAAAACTATTTCTATGCGCTGTTTTGGTATTTTCTTCCATGCAGGCTTCGATTATTAATCTGAGAGATATCAATAATCTGGTCGCGGAGCAACAGTCGAAATAATGGTCATTTTAACAAATGTTTTGGTAAGTTTTCAAATTCTGAATATTCATGGATATTACATGAGAAATTATGCTACATAACGTAAGTCTATCTGTATGAGAATTAAATACTCCTGACTGAATTTCAATAAATTTCTAAGTGATTTTAGCGTGCTTCTCATTTCAATCTTATTCGACTAGATCTATGCCCTCTTCGATTTGTTTATTTTTTATCTAACACATGGACTAACTTCAACAGAAATGCAGAAAGTCGCATATTGGGGGAAATTAGCTGGCCGTATATTCTCAAATTCAGCAAGTCGTAAAATTCAAAGTCGGAAAAACTAATTTTGACGTGAAAATATGCAGTCATTTAACTTTGTCCTTAACATTCAGTATCACAGAATCACAGAGGAATAGAACTTCAAACCTCTTTTTCTCAATTCAAAATTGATCCAACTTGGTGCATTCCTGCACCACTCTACGTCAGAGCGCCAAATTATTACACCTATGTCTTTTTTGCAAACTCTCAATGCAAATAGTAGCTATTCCGTTTAAATGCGTCAAATTGCAGTCACACTGATTCAAGTCGAATCCATCTATTGCTTCAATGCCTGGTTGGACATAATTCTGTAAATTTTTACTAAAATTTTCCGGCTAATATGTAAAAACACGTAAGCAATGATTCGTAAGCTGTTTCCAAACTGAGCCAGAAATTGTAGTTCCTGGTCGGAAAATGTTGTCCAATTTGACTATTCTGCCGCGCTAAGGAAAAACGCCATATAATCCTTTAAACATTGTCAAATTTCCTTGGGTAAGAAACGAATCACGAGGGGAACTTACGAATATTTTGTCACCTTGCGGCCAAAGTATCACAAGCGCCATGCGACGTTAAAAAATTTCCGCCGCCATTTTATTTTTTTCCCCAAAGAAATATTTCAACGAAGCCGTTTAAAGAATTTCACTGAATTTTCCTTGTGCTGCCGATAAAATTCAGTGAAATTTTCAAACAGATTAAACCAACAATTTGTCTGTAAACAAATAAAATGGCGGCAGAAACTTTGAAATGTCGCGTGACGCTTGTGATAATTTTGCCGGAAGGTGACGATGTATCGTCATACTTTTTTAGAGAAATTTGTTTGCAATTCGATGCAAAATTCCGGGCAAAATATTCGCATTTTTTCTCAAAAATTAATATTTTATACGGAGAATTTTTGCAACATTGAAATGTTCATGCGGCGTTTCTCCTTCGCGCCACGGTCATGAGTCCTCGACTGCCGTGCTAAGGAAGAACGCCGTATGAGCATTCGAGAGTTGCCAAATTCACTTCGATAAAATGTTTATTTTTTAGGTAAGTTATGAATATTATTCCTTTAAATTCTCAAATTCTTTAGGTGAAATTGCGAACGAAATTATCTGAAAAATTGGGAGGAAAATATCCATAAGTTTGCCAGAAAATTCGCGTTTTATGAAAGGAAATTTGGCAACACCTGAAGGTTCATACGGCGTTTTTCCTTAGCACGGAAGTCGACGTATTCATAGGATCATGGGCCAAGTGAAATGAACTCTGAATAATCGCCCACGAATGCGTTTCCGTTTTCATCCGCAGTCAAGTTCCGTCGGGATAAGCCTAAATATAGACTTTTGAAATTCACCGGAAATTCCCTTTTTTCCGTGCGGCTGTGCTCGGAGTTTCGCGGGTTGCCAGAGGATTCCCGAATTTTTCCCCCGGGATCAAATCCGAGCAAGAATTCGATCGGGAGATCCGACGGCGGTTTCGGTTCTCTCCTATGTCCGGTCCGATTCGGTCATGACGAAAGCGGGTTCCAATTCAAACAAACCGTTCATCCGAATAAAACCACCTGAGGCAATGTTGCCACCTTAGAGGACCAGAACGATAGTTGGATTGCATTTTGCAATAAGGAACTGTAGTCCCTTTTTGTGAGAGTAAAGACAATACGAATCCATTTCTGATTGGTTTCGTATTTAAGGCCTATACAGTGTCACAAACGGGAATAAAGATTACATTTTCACCGATTGCAAAGATTATAAACTGGAATGGACTAGAGTCCCTTTATACTGAGAGTCAAGACAATTCGGCTCATGGATGTCACAAACGGGAATAAAGATTACAGAAATTGAACGTTTTTCGTAATCTTTGATCGGCCCATTCTCAAATGCCTTTCTCCGTTCCTCCTCTCATTCCGTTTGTTCCTTGCCGAACCCGTAATTCCCTGGTCCATTCCAGATTATAATCTTTGCAATGGTGAAAATGTAATCTTTATTCCCGTTTGTGACACTGTGGAGGCCTAAAATACGGGAACCAATCAGAAATGGATTCAAATTGTCTTGACTCTCAGAATAAAGGGACTCTAGAATGGACCGGGGAATTGGGGGCACGGCAAGGAACAAACGGAATGAGCGAAGGAACGGAGTTAGGAATTCGGAAATGAGTTGATCAAAGATTACGAAAAACACGTTCAATGTGTGTAGGTAACCTTTATTCCCGTTTGTGACATTCATAAGCCGCGCTGTCTTAACTCTCTCTACAAAGGGACTCTATAAGGAACCACATTTCTGGCCCATTTTAGAAACACATACATGCCATTGGTTTCCCTATGCAGATATGCGCTCTTACGGGAGAGCCAGAGATAGTGGTTCCTTATTGCAAAATTTAATCCAGTTGAGGTACCATATTAGATTTTCAAACGGATCTGTGCCTGCTTAAAAGAACTTGAAAAAAAACATTTTTTTGGTGACTGTAAAAAAGTTCATAGTGAACAAGAGGTTTTTGACTAACCCGATTAATTTTCCATCTTTGGCGGTCACCTAACAGGCGCGCAATGCGAAATAGTGTTTTTAGCAAATATTGAGTTTTTAAATTTTTAGCGATTTTATTCTGAACAGTTTTAAATTTTAAAAAAACTCCTCAGAGCATCATTGAACCTCACTACATTTCGAAAGAAAGATTTTAATTTTTGCAAACTTTACTTTTGAACAGTTTTTTTCCAAAATTACAAGCACCTCAATTTTTTCCCCAAAGATTTTACTTACCCCCTTCATTTTCAAAAGGCTTCAGTTCCCTCTCACTGGAAAAAAAAAAACACATTGGATCTAGAGTCCAGACTTTTGAAAACATTGACAAGAAAAATGACTCTTGATTCAATCAGATTTAAGCTTAAATCAAAAGGAAATCCGCTCAAATTAAGAGGCTTGGTTCTTGATTTAAGCTTAAATCTGATCGAATCAAGAGTATTTTTTCTCGTCGATGTTTTTAAGAGTCTGGACTCTAAATCCAATGTGTTTTTTTTTCCCCAGTGCTAGGTATATTAAATATGTTCATACTATTGGTCCCTTATCAAATTGCTCTCGCATATGCAGCACACGTCCTACGATGTATATTATTAGGAGGATAATGGAAGACTGCTCAATTTTACAATTTATTTTCGTCATAATGCATGGCATTCAAAAGTTATTATCTTTTTATGGGGGAAAATTCAATGACTTAAATGCATTTCACGAATGATGGGAACCGCAACTCCGCAACTCCGCCGCGAGGTCCCCGATATTCACAAGCTGGGCGGAAATTTCCGCGCCAAAGAACCGTCGCCTATTTTTCGATCATCGCCGCCACATCTGGAATAAGCCCTCCAAGGTAAAATTTCCCTTTGATCTACACTTCGGTTAGCTCAGAGCCTGCTTCCATTTGAAAGCCGCAAAGTATTGAGGAAACGAACCAATAACCAAACCATTATAACGGCTGGAAGGGTTTGGATGAGATAATTCCCTCCCCAATGCTGACTTCGAAACTTTCGGGAACAATCATGTTGGCATTGAAGAACTTGTCCTGCAAAACTTGTCTCGGCCTATCTTTGACGTGGTGACTTGTTTATTGTTCAACTTTCAAGAAGCCTGTCCATTCCTCATTGTTATCAATTGCATGTTTTGATACATCACAGTAGCTGAGCAGTACACTGGAATAAAAAATACATTGGATCTAGAGCCCAGACTCTTAAAAACATCGACAAGAAAAAATACTCTTGATTCAATCGGATTTTTGCTTAAATTAAGAACCAAGCCTCTTAATTTGAGCGGATTTCCTTTTTATTGAAGCAAAAATCTGATTGAATCAAGAGTATTTTTTCTTGTCAATGCTTTCAAGAGTTTGGACTCTATATCCAATGTTTTTTTTTTTCCAGTGTAGAGTTGCAGTCTCTGAATAAATGTCGAAAAAGAGTGTATGAAAACGTAGAGGCGCCAAAAAATTGGGAAGGTGAGGCTGGGGCACCAACTAAGCAAAATTGAGTGTAGATAAGGAGATAAGGGGTAGAAATCAGGATATGAAGTTACGAGTCGCACCAATAGTCGACTCGCCGTCGATGTACGTCTCGTGACCTTCTGACCTATTATGGAAAAAAGTTTGCGTTCGGAGACAAGCCGGGTGGATCAACTTGGCTTTATTCTACTTTCTTTCGCCCCACATCTGCCAGTTTATAGCTGAATATGAGTCGCAAATCGGGGTATGTTACTGCCCTAAACCGACAAGTGAAGGGAGGGGGAAGCTGTTAGGGGATCTTGGATTCTTCGCGTTAAAAAAACTTGGCTCCTCCCTTGCACTCTATGGAAACCGCCTTCGATATGAGATTTTGGTACATGCAAAACATGAGTTTAGCAACAAGACCCAAAACGCGTAGATCAATTGGCGTTGCCTAATTTTTTTGGATCCCTCACCCTCTGGTTTAGGGCTGAGATGCAAACGGAGCACGTTGCAGCCCTATACAAACAGTTGTGGGACACAAAAAAGTTAGGTAACAGACCCACCCGTCTGGCATAGAGAAAAAAAGGAGGTGTTTGCATTTCGGGCATCTTGGAAATTGTTTGATGATTTGATGACGTAGGTCGGTACAGTGACGTTTATCCTATCGATTTTCTTGGAAATGGTGTAATTTAAGGAAGTTCATTCTATAAAAAGTGCTTGAAAGTATATAATGAGTTGATTTAAGTAAAAAATCGGACATTATGGTCCGTTTTTCATATTTCGAATT